ACTCAGCGGCAAGAACCCTTGGCAATGGCCATACGCAGACAGCCACAGACTGCCAAGAGCCAACTACACGGGACCTACGAGTCTCTACTCCTTTTGTATTTGAACACCTACCCTGTGCCAGGCACCGTTCTTGGGACTGGAGACACTGCACTGAACAAGGCAAGGTCCCTCCCCTCACAGAACTTACACTGAGGTACAGAAGATAGATAATTAACAAGTAAATGACCACAACAAAATAGAGCCAGCTCTACCAATGCTTCTTCTATGCACTTTCAAGTGGAAACATCCTATATATTTGATCATGTTTCAATACAAGTAGATGAAACATGTAACTAAATCAGTTTTCCTTCAGACAGGGGCCAAATTCAGCCCAGCCCACACTTACAGTCAGAGTAAAGTCGTAACAGTCAGGGAGCTCGTGATGACGAATGGTCTGCAGATTAATGGCCTTCAGTTTAAACTGCAGCTCCACTGTTAGGAGTCTAGGAAACAGAGGAGCCTTTAGTGCAGTGAAAACATGCACATACAAATATAAGTTATACTCCCATCTGCCTCCCTCACCTGTGAAAGTCCAGTGTTAAGTTGAGTTTATTTTCTTCCAGTGTTCCAATGTGAAAAGGTTCATCGGGCTCTACAAAGAAACATTCTGCCATAGAAAGGAACAAAACATTCTGTAGATAGCCTAAAATAAATAAGTAAAACTGCATCTTGAAAGGATAATACATTTAAGACTAGATTATTCAGATTCTACTATTCTTCTGAATTAAGATTTAAAAGCCAAAAGTCAGTACCCCTTAGTTACAATGAATCATTTGTTTTTCAAGACACGAGTGGATGGAGGGCAGAAGACATGAATTCTGTCTCATGAGTCTTCTGTAGAATGCTATCTTCCTTCCTGAATCTGGAAGCCTAAATTTTGAGTCCCTGCTCCCTTTTTTGTATCCTAAGCATAAGTTTGAAGAACTTGGAGTACTTAAGACAAAATTGTCTAAGTTTAAAGGATCTATTTTTTTAAATACTATTTTCCCCTCTATACTAGACTATACTTAAGGGGGAAAAAAAAAAAAAAAAGAGGAACTTCAGGGACCTGAAATTTGGCTCAGTCATGTAAACCTCTGACTCTTGATTTTGGCTCAGGTCATGATCTCACAGTTCATGAGCCCACATGCGGCGAGGATCCCACATGGGCTCCCACACATGGAGCCTACTTGGGATTCTCTCTCTCTGCCCCTCCCCTGCTTGCTCTTTCTCAAAAATAAATAAATAAATAAATGAATGAATGAATGAATGAATAAATAAATGAATAAATAAACAAACTTAAGAAAAAAAGGGAAGACAGCATTTTAGAAGTTTTCACTAATCTGTACTGTAATCCTTTACTATCCTTCTCCAAAAAAACCTCCCAGTGGCTGTTGTTAAAAGTACTTGAAAATTTAATGTTTTAGGTACAGACTGTAAATAGAACTTTGCTAATAAGAATAAGCCACTGTAGGGGCGCCTGGGTGGCGCCGTCCGTTAAGCATCCGACTTCAGCCAGGTCACGATCTCGCGGTCCGTGAGTTCGAGCCCCGCGTCAGGCTCTGGGCTGATGGCTCAGAGCCTGGAGCCTGTTTCCGATTCTGTGTCTCCCTCTCTCTCTGCCCCTCCCCCGTTCATGCTCTATCTCTCTCTGTCCCAAAAATAAATAAATGTTGAAAAAAAAATTTAAAAAAGAATAAGCCACTGTATTCTAAACTCTGGTTCTGGTTTCTCCTTGAAATGACCCACAAAGATACTAAATAGTGAAGTGCAGTTGAGGGGAGGGAGTTTTATAGACATCGCAAATTTGCAAGTACAACGTCTTCTAAGGATAGTATAAGTCTATGTAACTGGCTTATCCAGCATAAGAGGCAGTGCTATATAGAGGTCAAGGATATAGTGGCTAAGAGCACAGACAGCCTGGGTCAGATTTCAGCACTGCTTCTTCCTAGCTCCATCTGGAATATATCACTTAACTCTCTGAGCCATACTTTAGTCTTCTATAAAATGAGGATAATAATACACCTTGCCTTATTGGTCTGTTGTTGTTGCTTTTAAAAAAAAAAATCATGAGTTACAGTAAAGGGCTTGGGATGGTACCTGACACATGATAACTCCTATGTAGTTTCTCACTATGACCTAACAGTACAGACCAAATCAACATTTTCAGAGACAAAATTGCTAACTTTAAGTATAAATCAAGGAGTTAAAAAATAGAAGCTCTAGTTTTTTGAAGAACATTACCAGTCTCCATTTCTGGATCAATGTCAAAGGTATCATTTCCAGGACAGATGTTCCCTTGCTTGTAGAAGTGCTGACAGATCGCCATAGCAGACTGCTCGGTACCCTTGTTCTCATATGCATGATTCCCCACCGAGATACTGCGCAGCTGCAAGTACTTGAACAGAAAAGAGAAACAGAAAATGGGAACACCAGCCAGGCAGAAATGAAGCCATGATTCCCTACCCAGCCCGTCTTTGAAATGGGCAGATCCCAACCTGCTTTCTGGATGGAGACATTCACATTCACACTGACATGCGTAGTACGCGACATGCTAATGTGCACCAGGACAGCAGCCAGAAAAAGCACTCAAGTTTTGGGCTCAAGTCTCATGTCTGTGACTGTGAGCAAGACACAAACTTTCTGAGCCTCTGGTTCCTTGTCTACAAAATTCAAGGTTTAACCCATGTCATCTCTGCGGTTCTTTCCTTCTTTAAAGAACTATGTTCAGGAACTGATCTGTGCATTCAGTGTGAATACAAACTGTATCTTTGAACTATTTCTTGTAAGATCAGAGTTCCGCTTTGCTGCTTTAATATAGGAAGGGGGATACAGTCGTTCCAAGCTAACTTGCAAAACTTAAAAAAATAGTTTCATCTTTATCTTTGCAAGAATAGTTTAGTCACTTTCACAGCAATATTCCCTCGTCCTGGGAGTCCTCTAAACAAACAAATGTAATTTTACCAATGAGAATCTTATGGTACTTTGGAATAACCATCAACCTAAACTCTGAATGCATTTCTGTAGAAGAAAAAAGGGTTTCAGAGCTTACTATGAACAATGCTGTTTGGCACAAGAAGTGATACGAAGATAGGGATATGGTAGCAGCCATCTCTTGGATTTAGTGGGATGGACACACAGATAAATAATTCTACTATAAAAATGCATGTGAAAATGCTAAAATCAGTGAAAGAATCATTTGTAATCTGGGCCTAGGGGGATAGATGCTGAGCTGGGCCTTGTCCAGGCCACCTCCAGCAGCATTTTACCAGATCTGAGGCATGGTTCTCTGTTCTTATTTAACTCAGCCTCCCACAGCGTTTGATGCAGCCGAGTGCCTTCCCTTTCGCAGGATGCCTTCTCCCCTAGACTTCTGGGACACAGGCTCTCTGTCTCAGTCTCCTTTGCTGAATCCTGCTCCTGCCAACCTCTAGCTGTCAGAGCACCCTTGGATTCAGTCCTCCACTTCTTCACCCACATTCTCTCGGTAAGAGATCTCAACCAGCCCCACAATGAAACAAGATCTGTACGCCAATAGCTTCCAAATTTACGTCTCCTGACCTTTCCACCCAAATGCATACATGGGTAGCAATCTGCCTGCATGGCACCTCTGGTGTCTAAGAGGTATCTCAAATGCAAACGTGCAAACGGAAAAACCAGCTCCTTCCATGAAAATGCCCTTCTCAATCAGTGACTCCATAAGCCAATCAGGTTCACAGGCCGAAACTTAGAACCGATTCTTCACTCTCTTTTTCTCATACTCCACTTCCGGTCCATCAGAAAGTCATGCATTACTTTCAAATTATCTTCCAAATCTGACTGCCTCTCATCGCCTTGTCCACACCACCTCACCTCTCACCCTGACAAACTGAATCTCTTCCTACTGCTGTGGTCTTCCTGCTTCCCGTCCGCCTCTCACCACAGTCCAGTCCCCATATAGAACCCACAGGACTGCTGGGGCACCTGGGTGGTTCAGTCGGTTGAACATCCAACTCTTGATTTTAGCTCAGGTCAAGATCTCAGGGTCATGGGATCAAGCTCCATGTCGGGCTCTGTGACAACAGTGTGTAGCCTGCTTGGGATTCTCTCTCTCCCTTTCTCTCTCTCTCTTTGACCATTGCTCACTCTCTCTGTGTCAAAATAAATAAATAAACTTAAAAAAAAAAAGAATGCACAGGATTGTTACAGGACTAAGTGAATTAATGCACGTAAAGCCGTTAGGACAGTGATACCCAAAACACGAACCTGTTCCAGACTCTGTTCGTGCTATCCCTGAGATGGCTGCAGTCTGCCTCCCCACGCTCTGGGCTGTCCTGTCCACCTGTCACTTATCAGGGGGCCTTTCCTGACCATCTCCACCCATTCACTCTGCCTGCTGTTGCTACCTTTTTTTTTTTTTTTTACAGCACACTTATGTGTACTTCTAACCAACTGACAAACGGTATCCTTATTTACTGCCTGTCTCTCCCTATTAGAATATGACTTCCTCAACTTTGTCTATTTGCTCACTGTAGTATCCATGTATCAAAAACACTATCTGATACAAAACAGATGCTAAATACTTGAGGGAACAGATATTAGCCTTTGCTAATATTAGAGTCTCTCCCCCACTGAAAGCCCTCCCATGGCTTCCGGTCTCTCTGAGAATAAATTCCAAAGCTCCTTTTCAGGGCCTGTAAAGCCCTAAGAGATCTAGCCCAGTCACACTCCCCTCCTTTGTATTTCCTCAAACATACTAAATGTATTCTGGCTTCAAGAGCCTTTGCTGTTGCTACTCCTTCAGCCTGGAATCTTCTTCCCCAGACTTCGAATCCTCAGAGAGGCCTTTTCTGACCACCTCGAAGAAACTGTTGACCCTCTTGCGCTACTTAATTTTACTCCATAGCACTCATTACTATCTGAAATCAAATGGTTTGGGTTAAACTTATTAAAATCCACCTCCTTTGGGGCACCTGGGTGGCTCAATCGGTTAAGCATCCAACTTCGGCTCAGGTCATGATCTCACGGTTCATGGGTTCAAGCCCAGCATCGGGCTCCGTGCTGACAGTGCAGGGCCCGGAGTGTGCTTCAGATTCCGGGTCTCCCTCTCTCTCTGTCCCTTTCCGCTCATGGTCTCTCTCTCTCTCTCTCAAAAGTAAACAAACATTAATTAAAAAAAAAAATCTACCTCCTTCATTAGAATGTAAATTCCACAGGGCAAGGAATTTATCAAGGCTACTGCTCTAACCCCAGCACTTAAAACAGTAGTAGGCATAGAGGAGGTGCTCAAATATTTGTCAAATTCATGATAAGGTAAAAAATATTCTAACACTTTTATAGCAGAAGAGCAATAGTTGCTCTTCATTTATGAGAGCTAATCTCTTCACAGTGAAATGGTAAACTGCTAGGACAGGATATGTAATTACAGCACCAAGCTCTCCATTGGCCATGGGACTGGGAAAAGGAGCCAGAAATCCACGGTAATAAAAGTAAGCTGCATATGCTGTTAAGTAGCATTACGTCCTACATGTAGGGGGCAAACAGTATGACGTAGAGATAGTCAGTTTTGAGGTTTTTGTTTTCTATTCGAGGAAATAAGCATATTACGCCTTGCTAAAGCTACTCTGAGCCAAATTGGTAGTTTTATTTTGGGGGTGGGAAGGTGTAAAAGGTAAACAAGTCCATTAAATGAAAACGAAGGGTAAAAGATATTGAGTGTAGTAAGGTCCCAAGTAGACCAGCGTGCCTGCAAGGTGGGGGGTGTGATGAGAAGGAAAGCTGGAGAACAAGCAGGGGTCATGAAGTCGAGTCATACAAGTACGGGCCCATCTGAGTGCCCACTGTCTGTGAGCCAATCCTCACAGGAGTTACCTAAAGATCTGAACCTCCTGACCATAGAAACTTGTAAGTCTTGAACCTTGTAAGACCTTGAAACATAAAAGACCCAAGGTGCAGGGCTGCAGGTGACCTGCTAACATTATAGGATATGCTGTGGCCGGACTGCCTTGCTGTCCTCGTAAGACTGTTTGTGGAAGTCTGTGCGAGAGCTGGGTGGTCAGAGATAAGTGGTAGGACTGTGTCCAGCTAAAGGGCAGCCCTGGAGCTGGAGTCAGAGACTCTGGGGCAGGAATGTGGTGTGTGGGACTATGGCTGGAAGGTAGGTGACCTGTGGGACTGACCGATGGGGCCCCCAAGTGGCTGTGGCCTCTGTGGGGCTTTAATCAGGGCTGGGCATCTGTCCTCACCTAACCTCTGCAGCTCTGCCTTGACAGAGGAATTTTTCACACAGACCCAGAATCCTGTGTAATAACTTCTTCAATCTCCTTCTATTACTATAGATTTCTGGCCATTGACAGAAAGCCTTGGTGCCGTAAATACATATTTCATTCTGGTTGTTTGCTACCTCATGGTACAGAGATTGTCTCTAGATAATGAGGAGCCATGATTTCACTTTAATAATTTACTTTTTTTGGCAGTTAATCAATGTTACAATAAAATCATTGTCATGTATGACTTTAAGGCCTTACTTAATTTTTAAATGAACCTTCAGATCTTAGTTGCTATATATACTCTGCAAAGTTAATATTCTCATTATTAGTTAAGAGCCCCTGAAAGTATAAACTCTGAAGACTTAATGAGTACTTACAACCAGGGCCACGGTTAATAATTTTAAATCTTTGAAGCACTCATGCCAACCCCTAGCTCTGATTCTTTTAATGAAGCCTTTAAAGTTTCTGCCTCTCTGTCACTAAACAATACGTTTTTCTCAATTTTTAGTTTCATAGAAGATTGATGGTGATATTTTTAAAAATAATTTAAAAATGGTTTTATACCTATCATCACAGAAATGTTCACCCTTCTACACTGGAATGTCAGTTTTTATTATATACATTGCTAACAGTTTCCCGGGCTGTTCTTTCTCCCAAGTAGGAACGCACATACTTGATTTACCTGGTTGACTGCAAAGATGATCTGATCATACACATCACTTTGCGTGTAGACTGCGTAAGTGTCATCCATTCGGTCCACATATCCTTTTAAGAAGAGGTGTTTGAATGCTATAGTGTTGTCTTCCTTGAAAGCTACAACCATCTGGTTACTCAGCCCAAAAAAAACCAGCTTCAAAGAAAAAAAAAAAAGAAAGGAAAAGAGGGTGAAAAACCAATGAAATAAAAGGTCTCCATATAATGACCAATTTATCTATTCCAGATTCAATGTTTAATTAATCCTGAATGTATTCAATAGAAATTAAAGTTTCTGTAGCTGTTAATTAATTTGACCTTAAAGAGAAGGTGGGCTTCTAGTTTTAAAATGAAAGAAAATAAGGGCGCCTGAGTGGCTCAGTCAGTTAAATGTCCAACTTCGGCTCAGGTTGTGATCTCAGGGTTGATGAGTTCAAGCCCCATGTTGGGCTCTGTGCTGACAGCTCAGAACCTGGAGCTTGCTTCTGATTCTGCATCTCTCTCTCTCTCTCTCTCTCTTTTTCTCTCTGCCCCTCCCCCACCTGCACTGTCTCTTTCACTCTCTTAAAAATAAACATTAAAAAAATGTTTTTAAATAAAAATAAAATGAAAGAAAGTAGCTTTGCACATTTTCATGTATGATCTTACTTAGGATGTTGCCCCCACCACTAAAAGCTTTATTTCAGAGAAGTCCTTGTTTAGGAATTTAGAGAAGCTAGGTCACTCTGGCTAAAGAAATGGGAAAGTTTCTTTAAGAAAGAAATAATGATGGAAACCCCTGAAGTATGTGCATAACTTGGGTGAGGACATTTGAAGAGCTCAGGGAAAAGACAAAGAAGGTGGAGTACAACTTAGCACTTTGGTGGGGGACATTGAGGATTCCAGCATAATCCAATCGAAGGACCACCAAGAAAAAAAATGTCAACAGAAAAACTGGAGGCAGATGGTCCAGGGGGCTTACAGGGCAAGTAAAAGATCTTTATTTTTATTTT